AGTCCCGTGGACTGCGTCAACATGAATATCTTATACAATCCAACCGGCTGCAGTACAACGAGTTTCATCCATCCTCATCTGTTGAGATCGACCAACGAATCTCTTCTTCATGCACTTTCATACGAAATGAAGGTCCCTCTGACAATAAGATTTTTATCTTTCATATGAGGGACATGATCAGAGCTGGAACTCATTCTTGTAAAAGTCTCGAGTTAAAACTAGGTGGGGAAAACTATTTGGTTCTATCTTACCTATTATAGATACTCATAAATAAGGAATGATGGACCTCCTGACATAACATTTTTGGGAAGACTTTAATTTCGCTTGAAAGTGCATGAAGAAGAGATTCGTAAGTTGATCTCACCAAAAGAGGACGGATGAATGCTGTTGTACTGCAGCCGTTTGGCTTTAATTCGACGTTCAGGTTGACGCATTCAACGTGACCTCCTCTCTCGTTCCAGGTGCAACCTGGCTGAGCTTTAGTCCATCATATGATGGACATCATCAGAGATGTAACTTATTCTTGTAAAAGTCTCACGTTAACACTAGGACAAGAAGACTATCCGACCCTATTTTACCTCTTATATAGACTCACTTGAGCAAAATAAAATTAAAAACCTAGATAGCTATCAATTGGCTTGGCTAATTATCTTTCACACTGGTCCTGCTACTTTTGCTCGAGTGTGTGAATGTGTGGGTGTGTCTATGTGTGTTTTAGCGTCCATACACAATACCGATTTTAAATAAGAGTTATCAAAAGGCTGATGTCAGGCTCTGGTCATCAAGGCCTAATAAAGAGAAAGCCCTGACCGAGACTGCGTAAATTCGTAAGCAAGTTTAATTGAGATAACAAGAAGTAAGCTTGCAAGCAGGTAAATCGACCTACGAAGCCACTTGTCCTAACCTCTCGGTCTATGGTCATAAACTTTTGACCACACAAGGAAAGGCATTACTAGGGCTGCGTTATCTGGTATATTGGCTATGGTCGTCAAGGATTAGTGACCCAAGAAAAAGCCCTGACCGAGACTGCGTAAGTATGTAAGCAAGTATGGTTGAGATAATTGGAGGTAAGCTTGTAAGTTGGTAAGTCAAGTTACGAAACCAACTTCCCTAGCCTCTTAGTCTATGGTCATTAACATTTGACCAACCAAGGAAAAGCATGCATGGGGCTGGGTAATCTCCGACATCTGCTTTGGTTAATGAGCTTAATGTAACATGTTGGACGAGTAGGAGTAAAGTTAGAACCATAACTGAGCGAACAAGTTGAGTCGCCTTCTTTTGGATGGCGACTCATCACCCTCTCTCTCCTTCAATCCCAAGATGGTGTGGCCTTTTGTGTGGTCGCAGTCTCCTTTCGTTGTATAGAAGTTGTTTGACCTTGTTTTTGCGACATGGTCATATTGGTAGGAAGACTTAGAGGAGCGCACCTAGTCCGGAGTCTATTGTCTGCATGATCATTTCCAAAGTTGAACCGTGGACGTGGTACATTTCCAGACGTTTCGTCGGCATTGTAGTCAGCATCTTCAGTGAGTATCGCCATTCTTAGCACCACACTACAACTCGTCAAAGAGACAAGTCCCTTGTGTTGTTGTGTGGTGCAAAGAATGGCGATACTCACTGACGATGCCGACTACGATGCCGGCGAAACGTCTTGGAATGTACCACGTCCACGGTCCGACTTTGGAAATGATCATGCAGGCAATGGACTCCGGACAAGGTGCGTTCCTCTAAGTCTTTCTACCAATATGATCGAGTTGCGAAAACAAGGTACTGTCGTGTGCTCCTTCGAGCAGCATTCATGAAAACTTTTCACACTCCACGCTGCCGTTCTCACCCCCTTCACCCTTTTGCTTGGAATGTTGACCAGAGTATGCTATATTATTACGTAGTCCTTCTCTGGGTCCTATCAGAGTCTGCCTCTTGCCCGTAGCTATCTCCCTGGTACACATATTTCATATTTGAGTAGAGTTTCGAGACTACCAGCAAATCAGTATTTCACTCGACCCCTGTCTCCCCATTTGTGCTACTCGAGGCTTTATTCGCTCTCCCCTCCGTCTGGGTGACTAATTCGAGGCTAAAGCCTCTTAGCAAATTTCATGGTCATGCATTTG